AACAAGGCCATTATCTCGGCAGGAACAAAGTCACTACTACGTCGTTAGACAATTCAGTGGAACCCTGGTTCGGATTCAGCGACACATAAAACTTGTGAGTGTTCTTCATCTTATGGAAAAATAAATAATATTCGCGATTTGACCTTCAAGTGACCTTGATCGAGATTTGGTAAGATTAAATGGATCAGATTTAGATTCAGTGAATTGAAATACGTATGAATATCTTCATTTCCTCACTAATCAACATTGATCAATTAATAATTCAAGAAATAACTACTGTTTCGCGATATGACCTTCAGATGACATTGTAAAATATTTTTACCTCAAGTGCAGTACCATATTACTATGTAAAATTAATCACTGAATTCATATCTAGCATAAAAAAATACGTAGAATCACAATTAAATGATTTATAATTGATTTTTGAAACTTTTTTAAGCCAACCGCCATATTGGAACTGCCATTTTGCATTTTTCAAAGTTACCACATTGTAAAAAGAAGTAGAGTATAAGATGAAAAATCATGCCCATCCACGATTTTTTCTGGTGATCTACAATTTTGGACAGAGCCATTATCCGTTTGATGTAGATCGACCTATATATGAATACGTATATATATACACACATACATATTCATATATGGAAATAATATTTTTAGGATTCTTATGAAAAATGAATGATTCAACTATATACATCTGCAATGGACCTTTCCTGCTTAAAAACTGAAATGAAAATTGTCAAATATCAAAAAATAAAAAAAGTATACATAGTAAATAATAAACTTGTTAATGAAATTTTTTTTATTTCTAAAAATGTATATTGCTATGCGGTGATCGACAGAGCTAAAGAAAATAAAAGATATAGGATAAATAGATAGTGAGTGAGAGATCGAGAAAAATACCAGTGACGGACTATTATCAGTTAAAAAAGATAAACATCTCACATTTCTCAACGAGAATATCGGATAGAAATGAGACTTACATAGTCGTACATTCTTGGTTATTTGAATAGCTGGACATAGATCATCTCACTATTTTTTTTTAATTTTCGGACATTCTTTTATGAGGAAATGTATAAATATTTTCAGATAACTTAATATTATGACTTGCAATGATCCCTAAAGCAAAAGACATAAAAGTGCTATTCATCCTGGATACCATAATCAAGAGCTTAATTAATAAAATTGTATTTAATTTTATACTCACTTTCTGTACCATCCGAAAGAAAATATATTTTTTCAACTGTAAGACCATACATTTCTTTTATAAACTTATGAATTGCCTTTAGGAAAGTATTATATTATTTTATTGTATTAAAAAAATCTACCAAAAAACATTTTTCTCTCTTTATTTAAGGACTTCTTGAACAACTTTCGTATTTCAGAAACTAATTTTTTTTTTACGGAAGGAACGAATATTCTTTTCTCCACTACAAGACTATGATCCCTTTTAAATGGTTTTACTTCACTGCTTGCTTCTTTTCCCCTCTTTTCTCATTCTGCAATACCATCTTCAACACTTTCTACAAAAGTACTGGTCTTTTTGTAAGTATAGCTGTAATTCTTCCATGATATAATAATTTGGTGGCTTTTTAACAGTACCGCCCACACAGCTTTATTTGAGTACACTTCCAAAACTGTCACACAGTTTTAAATTGATTCTTTTGACCCATTTTCGAAAAATCTGGTTGCGAGAATGAACTCGAACACTGAACTTCTCTGCTCTAACTTTTACTGCAAACTAATCGATTTTCGACGTCTATAGTACACTGGAGACAAAACTTTCTAAACCACTTCTTTCAAACATCTACGACAACGATAACTTAAGCGTGATAAAGATTTCGAAATTGACCTGAGACAAAATTTCTGGCTATACTTTTCATAAATAACCTATTATTCCAGCATGATAATAATGTCCGGAGATTCGTGATACAATTGGCACAATAAAAATCATAAAACCATTGAGCTATAAAGAAATTAATCGATAGAACAATAAAGAGGAAGTGATAAATTGCACAATAATTCGAGAAGGTAGGCGGACGTCATATCTGAAGCACTTCGCTCGATCGTTTTTTGCCGGCGATATTGCAAGTTCATACTTGTTCCTGGAAAATCCCGAGAAGTACGATGATGTGATTTTCCAAATCTAAACAGTAGAACAATGAATAAATTGCGATCGATGCGTCTTTTTGCATTATAACAGTGTCGCGTGAGCCTTTTGCTTTAGCGCTTATTGCAAGGAATTATATCGAGTTACCTGAAAATATTAATACGTTTTCTCATAAAAGAAAGTCCAATAACCACAATAGTATAATAATTTTTTTAATCGGAATAACAGTATATTGGTAAAAATGCTAATGTGCGATGTTGAGTGCACGCATGGCCAACGTCATGCCAAATACCGCTATAATGCAATGGTGTGGAATTTATTAATTGCTTAAAAATGTTAATATATAATGTTTTAAAAAATATTTGAAGAAAACGATGTAGAATTTGCCAAATTCGTATAGTAGCTCTGAAATAAATGAAATTGTTAAAAAAAAAGTGTATGACTATTTAAAAAATAAGCAATTGTTATTTTTCAAATGTCATGTTAAAGTAGAAGATTTTCCGCGTATTTACAAACTAATTTTTGTTAACTTTAACCTATTATAACCACCATAGACGTCATTTTTTGGACATTATTTTGATCGCAAAAATCATGTGTAAAACGAAACAATAAATTGATCCAAGGTACCGCTTCTTATGTTTTTGGGTATGCTAAATAAGAATCCGTGCTGCAATATCAAAACATTTGCTTTCAAAATTAAATATGACGGGTTTTTCACATACAAGAAAATAGTGAAAAATTCAGATATTTTTTTTATCAATTTTTTTCTAGCATAAAACGCAACAATATCAAAACCTTTCTTGAACCATCGATGCAAAAAATTATCGAACTTTAACAGTCAATTTTTTTGAGCTTTTTTTCCAAAATGACGGATAAAATTCAAAAACCTAAGAAACATTTGTTTCTCTTTACCATGATTTTTCTTAATAACGATAAGGTTTACCAAAAGGTTTGATGAAAGAAAAATGTCTTGGAATTTATCACGGAACATTCTCTATTTTTTTCAAATTTTTTGGAGAAAATTTTTGATTATTTCAAAAAACAATAAAATTGATATTTCCAACAAAGTTATCAAAAAAAATTTTTTTTAATTATATGATCTTCCTTGGCTAATTTTAAGACTTTTTGTTCTTACACATTTTTTCTAAAAGCCTATAGCTTTCGAGCAAAATATTAAATACTATACAAATTCTTTCCAACCGTTTCAACTTTGTTTGAAAAATTAAAAATTTTCTCCAAAAGAGTATTCCTTGATAAATTTTAAAACAATTTTCTTCTATAAAACTTTTTCTTAAACTTCATATTTAAAAAAAAAACAATGGTAATGAGGAACGAACTTTTTGTTGATGTTTTTCCATTTTCTCTGTCATGTTGGAAAGAAAACTCATATAAAAATTTTCCGTTAAAGTTAAATAATGATATGTATCGATGATTGAAAAAACATTTCAATATTAATGCGTTTTGTGCTAGAAAAAAATTTATAAAATTTTTTTTTTTAATTTTTCAAGCAAAACTTTTGCATTTTCAACCGTGATTTGTATTTAACATAATCAAAAACATAAAAAACGGTACTCTAGATCAATTTAATTTTTCATGAACACATGATGGTTGTTTATAAGTTCATAGCGACCGAGTTATTGGACTTTGAAAAAAATTGAGTCAATTGTATTTAATTGTTACTAATTTTTTATCTAATACTTTTTGTTTATAAAATTTAACCAAAGTGTTTATTTTGATGATACTAATAAGTGTACAAAGTTTTAAAAATACCGGCAAGATGATCTATGTCCAGCTTGTAAAATAGCCACAAATGTACTCAGTATTCATATTTTAGATCTCGCGCATTGATTGATTTGTTCCGGTTTACTCAACTTATAGTTGACAACCTCTTTGAAGGAATTACGGTAAAATAAAAAAAGAATTATCTTATTTGTAAATGTCGATCTTCGAAAAATATTATGAAGTCTATAGCTTAACCAAATACTTTGAAACGTAATGCAAAATAATAAAAAGCTTTTGAGTTTCTCAATTTTGAATAAGTACATATGAGCCGTTTATTTTGAAAGTGACCTAACTCCGTTTTTCAATTTTCTGCCGCTTACAATGGTTACATGTACAACTTCATGTTGTTTTCCGAATTAATTGAATAACTGAGCCGTGTAGTTTGAAAATGGCCTAAACTTTCAATATCTCGATTTGAAGATGAATGGAGTTAGGCCACTTTCAAAATAAGCGACTCATATATTCCAGTATCCCAAAGTTTAAAATTGCGTTTGCAATATACGTTCGTTTTTCGAAAATAATATTTTATTGTTACTATAGACAGTGATAAGTTATTATTAATATCGTGTTAGGGTCGAACCGTCATACGTTGAAAATTCACGATTAAAAAAATGCGGTTTCGCTTGAAAGTAATGATAAATTTTGAGACATTGGCATTTAAACAGTTAAGTAATTTTCAAAATTTCATGAAAAATTAAAAAACTGAAAGGCTTCTCAATGTTTTGCGTGAAATTCAGAAGTAATTAGATAAGCCATTGATGAGATAATTTTTTTTTCGGAGATTGATGTTTACGAATAAACTAATTAATTTTGTATTAAATTCCGAATTTATGAATTTCCAGGTGTCTGAAAAAGTTAAAAATCCGTGCTTTTTTCCTTCCATTCCCGCATTCTCAATTTATTTCGATAAACCGCTGATGAATCAAATAATGCGCAATATTTTAAGCCTCAATACTGTGTAAATTCCTATGAAATATAATTTATCTTAGCAAAGATACAAGTTTCGAAAATGAGATGCCTTTCTTTTTTTAATAGAAGATAGTAATCCTAGCTTTTTTATAGTAGTTTTATTAATTTAAACAAACAAACATTATTGTTATTGAAAAATTACCTTGTTTTTTTAGTGGATCTGTAAGAGATTACTGTTAAATCTTGATGATTAGAAACAGTTTCAGTTGAATTATGTTGCGATATCTTACTAATCCCAGAATTTACTGCGATTGATATAGAATACGGTGGTAATAGATCATTGCATTGAAAACGCTCATGTAATGATAAATCAATATTGTCTGAAATAGTTGCTTCAATGATTTGTTCATTTTTCTTTAGATCCATAGCTGATTCAGTTACAATTTTCGTTGATTTATTCAACTCATTTCCCATATAAAAATCAGATGTTTTAATGTGTAAAATATCGTCAGTTCCTCGAAGAACAGGTGAATTCTCTTTAATTTTATTCGATGTTGTGTTGGTAGTTGATTTCGGTCCTGTGGTATTATTTTTTGGTATAACAATGTACTTTTGACCTCCCAGCGTTGTAATACTTTGTGCAAAACATTCGTCATATTGATCTAAAAATACTTTTTCTGAATGAGAACGAATTGCATTCGTAAATTTTTTTTCAGAATTACGTAAACTATTATAGTTTACACTTTTATTTGTTTTAGTTCTACTTGTGTTCTGCAAAGCTATATTTTCTAACTTCGGAATTGGTTGTAATTGCGGCAGAAATACTGATTGATGCTTCGAACTACTAGTAGATGCATTCAATATACTAATCGGTATTAAAGGTGGTGGTGAAAAAATATGATTCGTTTCATTTCGTGATGATTCATCTGATTCTATTTTACAGTTCTACAATTGAGTTGAAATTAATTTTGCGAACAATATATTAACGACTAAAAACAGGAGTTGAGTTTTAAAATTAGTATTAGTGGTAATATTAAACTAGTAAAGACTTTAACGACCCTCGATAAATTTACAAAACTATCACATGTACATGTAAATTATCCATAGACTTCTCATTATCGTAAAATATAGCGTATGAATCATTTTTGAATATACATTTAACTATTTATATAATATAAAGGAGTATATTCTTTTTATTCCTTTTAGCTTGTACTTTTATTAATGGAATTTCATTTACTTTAATATTTGTTCACACTTATCTCTACAGATTTCAACCATACTCAAAAATTTTACAGAATATTCAATACTTCATTTACTTATTATCTTCAGTAAATCTATACAATAATAAAGCCGACCTTGATATCCTCTTTTAGAATTGAATATCTAAATAACCTAGTAAATTAATTAATTAGTAAAATTATTAATTTAATTACTCAGTTTATTCAGCGTTCTTACCTATTAAAAGTCATTTCTCAGATTAGAGTTATCTTTTTTCTTTCTTCGAGACATAATTGAGTAAAGTAAAGTACTTGAATCTCCGAAACTTCTCTTAATATTTGAGCCAGAACCTAACAACCCCCGACCCTTGTCACCTGTGACGATATAATCCCAGGTGTCTTAACTTCCGATTCCTGTAACCTGTGACCATATAACCATAGACCCTCGAACCCCAATTACCTTAACCCCTTATAACATATGATTTTAATATTATTGCGAAACTGCTAAAATACTTAACATGAATTAATGATATCTCCATGAAAGAAAAGGTTTCTAATTGAAAAAATAGGATTTAAAAGGCAAGAGTGATACTTTATGATGGTTTTACTATGTAATAAAAACTTCATAACAAAGATAATGTGGATGCTATTCAAAAAAAACAAAAAAAAAAAAAACACAAAATTTACTGCCATCTATAAATATTCAATTCAATAAGAACAAATGAGAAAACCAGCAGTTAAGATAATAGGTATATCGTAACGGTCTGGTCTGATCTATTTTTTTTTGTTTCTCACTACTCTATGGCAACCCGCCATACACTGAGGAAAAGTACTATCAAAACTAAGGCGCTACCTCACATATACGTATAGATGTGTTAGGTTACTTGATCAAAATCATAACCATATATGAAGCGTGACATCACATCTACGAGAAATTTATTGTTTACTACGCGCAATTTATAACTTCAACCTTTTTCAATGAACAAATGCACTTTTTCAATTAATTTTGATGCATTGATCTTGTTATGCGTATTAATTGATTAATACTGAGCGATATTTAATTTCTAATTATAAATCACGTATAATAATTTTTCGATAAACGAATGTAATGCGAATTCGAATGCTATATAGAGAAAATAGCATCTTAAGAAAAAAAAGCAAGATTTGACTAGTTGATAACTGATTCTTCAGAAAAGTTATCAATAAATGAAAAATTAATAATGTATTTAAACATTTAAAATTATGTCAAATCGATTGTCATGCGATCGTCGATTTTATATTTGCAAAATTTTATAATAGCATAGCCATATTCTTTGTTTACAAAAAACTACAAACGGCATTTTAAAGTAGAAGTTTTGTGCTTTCAAATGGCATTGAGTTTACTTAAATAGCTCATTTTTTCTTTGAGATATATACGAGAGATATATATCTCGTATTTTCAAATCTTCCAATTCCATGAATTTTCTTCCTCTTAAAATCTATAGGATTCTTAATATTTCGTTGTCGAACTTTGATACTTATGTTGTCTTTTTAGTTTCAACTCATTTTTCAAGTGTTTTTTACAACAATACGATTGCTCCGGCCGAAAACTAGTAGATATCAGTTTCCCCTATATATCTTGAAAAGGGCGAAAAAGGGGTGGAAAACACAAAAACGGTCTAAAGGTATTTTCATTTGTAACTTTCCACGTATTTTGGTACAGTTTTTTTTAAATAAGTTTATGAGGATAAGAAAATAATGTAAGACAACCGAAGCCACTCCTAAGTATCTCATAGGGGTGAAAAGGGAGTGAGAACGCAAATTAGAAGTAGCTCAGGATGCCGTAACTTAGCTTACATTATTTCCTTACCCTAATAAACTGAATTTATTTTAAAAAAACTGTACCAAAATACGTGGAAGGTGCAAAATTAAAATACTTTGCGACCTTTTTTTGCATTTTCACCCCCTATGAAATACTTAGGGGTGGCTTCGGTTACCGAAACTTGGCTTACAATATTTTCTTATCCTTATAAACTTATTTTTAAAAAATGTACCAAAATACGTGAAAAGTTACGAATGAAAATACTATTAAATCGTTTTTGCGTTTTTCAGATCACGGGGATGGATATTTTCGGATGACGAAACTTAATATCTTCTAATTTTAGGCCGAAGCAATCGTATTGTTGTAAAAGACACTTGAAAAATAAGTTGAAACTAAAAAGACAACATAAGTATCGAGAACGAAATATTAATCTGATCTTTTTGATCTGGGACTGGTCTATATATGGACCATCAAGAAAAGTGAACGTAATAATGTTTATAAGGTTAATTTAATGAATTAAATTTAGGAAAAACATTGAAAAAAATCCTGGTTACTTCTTTGACCTCCAAAATTAATTTTGAAGGTCAAACCATGAAAATGCGTATTTGCGCTTGAAAATTGGTATATCTATATTTTATGAGTCGTTGAATACGATAAAATTAGTAAAAAAATTCTAGTGATTTCTTTGACGTTGAACTTTGAAAGTTCAAGTATGAAAATGCGTATTTGCGCTTAAAAACTTGTAAATTGGTGTACCTAGATTTTATCTGCTATAGTAAATAAGAATATTAGTAAATAAGTCTAACTACCTCACTCACTTTGAAATTTAAAGATCAGCGTGTGCAAAAAATTATCTTACTTGAAAATCAATAAACAGACGTTTTTGATACGCTGAGGTAACACTGCTCTATCAAGATCGTTTTGTTATCTTTGTTTAGTAAGTTCGGAGTATAAGTACTGAATGATAACATATGTATTTGTATGTTTTTTATTGTGTAGTATCTAGAAGTAATAGCTATGTCAAGGTCAATTTTTTTACGTTGGTGATTCTATAAAAAACATTTCTCTGTGCACTTGTTAAAAAACTGATTATATAGGTGAACTCCAGGTAAAAGTATCGGAAAATTGTCATTTTTAGAAGCATCTGACAACGAGATTTAGTTATTTAATTTTTTTACACTTCCACGTATATATTCTAATTAGCATAGTAGTTGTTCGTTATTGTTATTACATTTTGTTATTCAAGAAGTGTTCCATCACTTGTCTTTAGGATATTGACTGACGACAAAGCTAGGACAAGCGGCGAATCTGAGTTAGAGGAAGGAGACCCTGATGATGAAGAAACATATTGTGATGTTAATATCACCTATTATTTGTTATTTTTTTCGTACTCTCGTGGGCTACGCGTTAATGAGTAAGAATTCGTTTAACTTTGAAAATATATCTGAATATTGAATTTGAAGTAAAATTATAAATGAAATATCTATAAATGTTAGGATTGAACTTAAAGAAAGATAGGCTTTACCTTAATTTCTTATGGTGCTAAGTGTCTCATAAGCAGAACTTAAATCTCTCTTGAAAAAAGGATGTAATTCTTAATCACTAGAGAGAAATAACTTAGGTACAAGCCAAGTTTATTCAATCTTCAGCACTCAGTTTGCAAGGGTAGGAAAGAATCACAACATGTTCCAAATTCAGCGTATTTATACACAGATTTTCCCGCCTATTTTCGCAAGACAGCCTTCTTCATGCTGTTTAAGCAAGAATGCAAAATCATTCTCCCTAGTTTACAATAGCATAGACAACACTAATAAAAATCTAAATCATCTATAAAATACAGAAGTTGATATAGATAATTTAAGTATAATTTACACTTATCGCAAAAAGTGGAGTTAAAAGTTATTAACTAATGAAGTTAGTTAATACAATAGCGTAATATTTACAATAAAATAATAAGAAAATTTTACATATAAAAATAGTTTATAGCTATATAATTGTAATAACATTTGAATAATAATCAATTTTCATATTTTTGCAATATCTTATAATGTAAATATTAAATCGGTTAATTAAGATTAATTAATTATAACAATGTTGTCATTATGTACAAAATTAACACTTTCGATTCTTATAAAATTATATATTTAAATAAATTATTAATTGTTTATTTATTGATAACAGTAATGACTAGGCTGTGATCAAAGAAATAAATTCTTACTCATGTTTCTCAGATAGTCATCTTGAGTTTAGAGTATTCGCTTTATTATAATAATTAACATTTACACTGTTACAAACAAACTAAATTTGTACATTAAAATTTAATATGATTGAGTAGTTAAAAGTAATTAAATATATCATAATCTTAATGTATGCCCTAAAATCTATATAAAAAAATACTTTGTTTCATTGTAATTACTCTTAATAACGCATTTTAATTGAACAATATAAATTATCATATTTATACTTATAAGAAGAGTGACGTCATGCTCCTTATATGGTCCTGAAATTTCACTCTAGCACTAATACAATCATATAATATGTAAGGTGGCACCGTTTAATATACTAATTTATATATGTAGATTCATGAGTTTAGCGCGTTGCAGTAATCCAGTGAAAATAAGAAAAGAGCTCATAGATAGGACTGTTAAAATATTGTATTGATTTAGTAGATTTAGAAGATGTGGAGTATGTCGAAGATCAAATTGGAAGACGCCTGATTTTTTCCATTAATAAAGGATTTCAACAGTACTTGTGAAATCAATCAAAACATCAATTTAGCAGGTAATACACCTATAGACTTCTTCAATTATTTTTTCAACTCCTCACTGATTGAAATGATTATTAAAGAAACTAATCATTATCATTTTCAAAATCCTGGAATTCAAAGTGACCATATGAAGCCTTGGACTCCCCTCACAAAAGAAGAC